TTGATTTTAATGAGTTTTCCGTGAATGAATTGTTGTCATCACTCGGTAATATTCGTCTCATCATAATACAGGTATTCTGCTGTAAATTCCGCAGTATATGCCGTATCATACTGTAAACAACCTCATTTGTAGAGTTAATTATCACCCATCTCATGCATCAGTTGCACAGTATTTGTATGGCAACTGTTATTTGATCTTCTAACACTGGATCATTTTTAAGAAAGAGTAAACGAATGACTCACGTTATTTCATGATGAATTCTAATTGAAACATTGCACAAAAAGTTTTGAAAGTCGTCTGTTGAGATATGTAAAAATTGGAATACATTGAATATTTGGAAATTTGTTTGATATTCATCATAAGTCCACAAACAATCATAAGAACGAACAGTGATAACAGAAAATTGAAGGAATCACACGGAGAAAAAATTTAACGTTTCTGAATCAAACAGATGAGCCAAAAAGTTTCATTATTAATGAGATTTGGGCATTTATTGTGATTCTATTAAGAACACCATCTNAGATGAGCCAAAAAGTTTCATTATTAATGAGATTTGGGCATTTATTGTGATTCTATTAAGAACACCATCTTAAGATAGAATCTCCATATTGTTGAAAAAGATTGAAATTGTCAGTAGATTCGTTTCGATTCTTTGGAAACAAGAATTGAGAAATTACTTCGAGAAGATTTCTGAGCTTCTTATCAGATGGTTTCCGTCAGTATCTCATCAGCATCAGTTTGTGTATCTCATCAGGTTTATCGAATGGAAATGCAACGGAGAATGCGATAGTAGTAGTTATCTTCTGATTCCTTACCTATAGCTTCACTTTTAAAGCACTGAAAATGTTTTGTACGCATAAGGAGTAGGTTTACAGAGCGATTATGCGGGAAGTACAGCGGTCAACACACTGCGGCATGCAATTCTCGAAACGTTTATTAGTATAATCAGTCTGGATTATCCTGGTGGTGGAATTGCCGAACAGTAGACGGACGGCTTATCCAGATTTGGGAATTTTTACTGCAACACTGAGAAGAGATTGTGATCAAGAGTGGTAGCATTCAACGCCATCAAAAAAAATGAAGGAGTGAATTGACCGAGGAAGGCCCGCTGAGGACCCTGACCAGAAAGTGGAGGAGCAAAACCGTCGTAGGATTGCCCCCGTAGGGAACCTTGACGGGGACGCCACTCGGTGACGGGAACACTAGTGATCATCAACAAGTCAACTTTTGAGCGTCAGTCGGTTTCTATCGGTGGCTACGGAAAATGTCTTTCCACGATTTCACTCTGTGCACCGAGACTCCGTACTCGGTGACCACCGACCCCACTCTAGGTAATAACAGAATTTTTTCGAGATTGCTGAGAAATTCGCCTAGTATCTATCTGCTCATGTGACCTTGATTATCTTAAATGCCTTTCTATGTGAAGTTTTATGACTCATAATATTTGGTATGCACGATTGCATGTATTCTTGTATCAGTATCTTAATCTGACCAACTCCGAAACCACAATTTCTATCACAAGACACATTTTCTTCCGAATCACAGTTCTTCATATTCGATATCTTTCTTCATTAGCACATTGATACATATGTATAATTGAAAGCACCTGAGTTGCGATACTGTCCAATTTTACAGCGTTGATAGTATGTGATCAAAGTGAATTAGAAGTATTAGAAGATATCTGATTAATATNTCCAATTTTACAGCGTTGATAGTATGTGATCAAAGTGAATTAGAAGTATTAGAAGATATCTGATTAATATCCGATAATGAATATCTGTAGATTTTTTCGGTAAAAAATTTCTAACAATAAGGACTGTTTTTGGGCTTGTCCGGAATTTCATTTAAACAAAACTGAGGTTGTTGGCAATGAATATTGTAAAATTTGTTGCAACTTCCAGATGGAATGCACTGCACGAATCACTCATTTACACTGGTTCGCACAAGCAACGCCGTGAACAGGCACATGCCTTGTTAATGTTGCTTCTTCGCAGGCATGTTCCCATTCGACTTTCGTTTCGTTTTCTAATTTCATCCAATGCTTCTTTTCTTTAACGAACAACACTTCACCCTCCACCTACAGCAATTCATCTTGTTCTCAGTCTACCAAATCCTTCACGAAAACATCTCATTTCCAGAGTACACGATTTGCAATGTCGTGCTGAACTAATAAGTGACATTTCTTTGGGAGAATATAAAACTAAATGACAAATCCATACGAGCGACNCCATCTTATTCCATTAATTCCCTGAGTATGCCAACTTGTACGTCTCCGAATTGTAAGATGAAATGAGAAATTACGGAGATTTGTCTGATTCCGCTTCATTGACGTTCCTTCCACCCATACACGATTGAGTTATCCATTAGGAGTGCTCTCGGATATTTCTCATTTAGAAAATTCCATTTCTAAGCTGACTTTCCAGTTGTTTTTTTTCAAATGCAAATATGACAGAATTCCTGCATGATGATACTTACTGATTGCGAGAATGTTGCAGAATGCAAATCATTTGAGAGCCGATATGCATGCATATGCTCAATTACTGTTCCAATTAATAAACGATGCGCGATTGAAATTTTCTGAATCATTAACCAATTTCTGGTTTTCTTCAGTCAATTCCATGCTAATATTTTGGCATCAATAAATCATCATTTATCATTTGAATTATTCTTATCAGTTACTTTGTTCTCAAATTTCTTATCAGCACTAACTTACTCAATTGTTCTATTGAACTTATGAACAGCATCATGACTGATATCAAAACCACTATTGCTACTGTTTGAGTCGCAATAAAGCGAATGCTATTTTCGCATTACATTCACTGAATCACTTCAAAACACTCCGTTTCGTTCCTTTCCACTTGTCTACATCAAATTACAGTATCAAGTAGTGTTTGTCGGGTAACGGGGATCCCGACGGGGAACGCTCTCCCCCAGCGCAATTTGCTCCCCGACTTTTCTACGGGAACCCTCCCCCGTCCAGTTTTCTCCCCGCGAAGATCCCCCCGTCTGAAAAACTGCTCTCCGACGAACACTAGTATCAAGTTGTGCCCCAATTTCATGGATTTCGTGTTTCTCTTCAGAGTTCCAAAAAATTTTCGAAACTTTCGCACTGAAACTCTTTGAAACGAGGACATGTCGGAAGCGCACCGATATTCTCGCAATGTAATGCTGCTGCGCTCGTCCACTAATACTACATGAATATCCTCTCAGAGAACNTTTTACATCGTTCCTCAACGTTTTTCTCACACTCATCTTCGTATAACTCCGTTTTATTAATGTGCTCTGCATACGGCAGCAGCACATTATTTAATGCACGTGAAATCGATTGACATCATCATTTCGTGTTCTATTTGTCATCTTTCGTCTCTTTGAATCTCCGCAATTCACCAGCTCACTTCCTAGTTGTCAAGCCTTCAACACGATAAAGCGTGCGTACACGATGACGATCAGTGCGTTGCGTTCTCGCATTTGTTCGACTGCTATCAAATTGTGCACACTGAATCAACGGAGGTGTTCCTTGTTGTCCGTTGTCCGTTGTCCGCGTATTTGCCTGGAATATTTTCCTGGACAGTTACCTCAAGCTTCGGTTTGAGGTGTTCACTCCCCCCAACTAAAGAAATCCAGAGTCTCCTTAAGTCATTTCCTTAACTTTAAAGTACTTTTTAAGAGATATTTATCCTCTTGATCTCTTGGTCAATAGCGCGTGCACACTCTAAATTCTTATTGTGCAATCGTATTTCCACTACCGTAACCGAAGAGTTTCTGAATCGGAATATTCAATAAATTGACCGGAAATAACTCCTGAATGAGCTTTCGCAAGCTAGAAATGAGATGCTTCACTTGTTCACCTGTTATCATTTGCCGGACCGACTGTAAAATGTGTGAATGAACCGTCTAATGTCCATAGATTTGGCTTGAGCTCAGTGTGACGAGTTTTACCTTTGATATTACGACAGACTAATGCTTCTTTCTGATTCTCAAGTTCCTGAAGTGAACTGAACAAAACTTGGGACAATAATAACAATAGATATTTGAGTGAATTACCTTTTTAATATTTTACCGCACTCTTTCGAAGTTAATTTTCATATTTGAGTGAATTACTCCGTTCGGATATTGACACGTTAAAAATGTAATACTTTGAACTCCAGATTCTCATAATTCCCTACAGGTGGGAGCAGCTCATTGTGATTAATGTTTTGTGGGTGCTTGATTGGTGATGACTAAATAGTGTTTCCT